TTGTTTTACTATAATTTATTCGACCGTAATTTTCCGGTTTCTGCTAAATGAATATTAGTTGAAATGTGCCAATGGAATGTGGAATTTGAAATTGTTCTGAATCAGTGTGAACGAGAAGATGATGTTGGTGACTGATCAGAATAGATTAGGGGTTCATGCAAATAGAACAGAAACGATTCATGAATAAACATTCATAGACACATGCGAACGCACATTTTTTGGACGTGACTCCTCTGAACTAAACCCATTAAAATTGAATATTTTTGCAATGAGGCTCTGTGAAATAGCATCCAGATCAATTTTTTCTTTACTAATATAGCGTAGGAGTAATCCTCCCGAAGAATTTACGCAGAAATTACAATCATTTTCAAAAGCAACTCCGACGGCATAGTTATTAGGTTGTGACAATGACAATCGAATGAAGGAAATAGATTCTTATTAAAAATTAATTTTGAAAGAAGCTTCTTCCATGACAAAGAAGAACTCATGACCAATACACATTGAATATTTAGGGCAAAAAAAATGAAAAATTTGAGGATTCAGGATAGGAACCATCGTCTTAATATCTGAATATTCGTGAGCTGCTTTCGAAAAATATTATTAATTTAGAGCAGAGAAATTTAATTTGATTTCTTTTTTCTAAAATGTGGTTGGCGCTGTTGGGACAATGAACTTTAGTGGTGTGGAATGTTGCTGGGACCAATACGCGAATATATGAATGAGTTTCATAAAAAGTTAATCAGCGTTGAGCTGGAAGTGTTTCCATTCGAATACTCTCTTGAGAAGAGCACTTCACACGCATCGTGCAGTGCAACACTCGACTGTACTCATACCACAAGTTGATAGAACACACCTTGGAAGTGGTACGACAATCGATAACGTTAATGTTATACATCAATAACGAATCAATTGCATTTACTTCACATCAAATTCTTATTCTTATGGTCTACTTCGAAATTCCATCTTTGCGAGAACAGCCGAATGAAAGTCTCTAAAAACAATTGAGGATATTCCGATACATTTTTGAGCCGTCAGTTTCTCTAATTGATTATTTTACAGAGTTTCATTGGCTGGATTGAGTTCCTTGGTTGGAGAATTTCAGATCGAGAAGGAATGTGATAGACAATGACTGGAAGGAGGAATAATAAGTTGGTATGTGATTGTGATCTGGATGAATGAACTTAAGTGTTTAATTGGTGAATTTGCATCAACATAATAAAGCATAATATTTGCGAGCAAATGCATACAGAAATTCAGTTTGATTTGAATGCACAAGNTCCTTATGCTGATTGCCTTCGTCCAGGAATAACGACGTGTTCGTCGGTGGAAATTCAATGTCCACAAAAAGATTCTTTTTACGACAGCATTCAGCCTTGAGTTTCTTGTAGTTTTGGTTACGAAAATAGCGTCTTCCCATAACTGATAGTTAACACCTAGCAAATACCCGCACAGACATATGTGTGTGGATGTTATATAGGTGTTCAATACCTGTTATACTTCTTTCTGTGTTCACTATTATTATGTGCTATGACAATCGTATTGAATCGTTCGTTCACTCCATGTCAACATTCGTGTATTCCGTACGTGAGCGCATCGTTTCTCACCTTACCGCCCTCACATTCTTTTTCTCTCATTCACTCCGTTTCGATGTGTATTTCTCATTTTTCTCGTTTTATTTTCTCTTTCATTCCATTAATCGTTGTCATCATTCTGTGCATGATCTCTTCGTCATATTATATTTACAGATTTCTTTCCAATTTATGAGCATTCTTCGACAGTCCCAAATTCCTTAGCAATATTACAGTTTTGTACTGTCATTTTTCATTGCTTTCAACAAACCATCTAAAATCAAATACCATCTGCATATTTTGCTCAGAATTTGTCGAATTGTATGATGAGTCACCCACAAATCTTTTGTTTCCGTTAAATGAGTGAAAACTTGTTTGATTCACTGGTTAGTTAGGGTTGGGTTGACGGGTGAAATCACACTACAGGCGTAATGTTAAGATTAAGGGGTTTAATCTCGGATGAAATGAATACAAATAAGGGTGGAATGACGGTAGTAACACTGAGTATCAACGATGAGAGTCTGTAATAAGAGTCAGTTTGGTGATGGCTATGTTACGGGCATTTTTTATTGTGCAAGGAATATTGATTTCTGATTACCNGGAAAACATGTTGGAAATCAGTTAAGTTATTATTGATGAATGAAGATATTTGATCATAAATATACGACTGAAGGTGTTTTCATAAACACGATGGAAGAGCTATTCGTTAACAGCTCGATGGATCAGATTTGTCGCCTTTATCCTTACGACCTTTCCATACTCGCAGATGCAACGAACGGCGGCACTAGGAATAATATCACTGAATAATTTGCAAAGCTTTGCAAAATTTTTTATAATTCATGTGTGTACGTTAAAATTTATATTAGTCATATAATTGGAATGAAAAATGTTGGGTGTTGTCGTATCTGTACAAATGATTAATAAATGCAATTACAATTTCGTAATGTATTCGAATTGAACATTATGACTTCGCTGTGCTGAAAGCCTTTTGCAATATTTTATTGAACAAGTGGAACTGCTTGAAATGTTAACGGATGAGTAGCACTCAGCGAATTTGCTATTTCGAAAGATGCAGAAATCAGTACACATCATTCAGTCTAATGATCAAGAACGTTTAGAACAGGTCCAGATTTGTGCATTCAAGTATTTGACCCGTCCGCATGCATTTATCGCTACGATGAACTAAGGAGTTGAGGCAGAAAGATTTCGTCGTGAGAAAACGAAGCTAATTTTCTGACGACACACACTACATTTCGATGATGGTGTGCGATTTTCCATAAATTAACAATCAAGAAGTATTTTTGTTACATGGACGATGAATGATTTTTCATAAATTACTGATAATTTCTTCGCTGACTAACTAACTATAACTGACTAAATTTGTAAGACGGCATACTGAAAAGCAGAGTTATCGTTTTCAAAGTACCTATACGCTCAGGTTTCAAATTGGTTGCATGCTCATAATCAGTTTTTTAAGCTCTGTTCAGAAAATATCTAAATAACATTCTGAATGATATGAAGCATTCCTAAATCAAGAACAATCACAATTCTTGCTCATGTTCAGGCCTCATGACAATCGAGCAAGCAGGTCCGCAGATGACGTATTCAGTGTGTCGGAAATAAGGGTGTGCAGATGGCCAGGTGAAGAGTTGGCCGAAAGAAAATGGAGGTGAAGATGAGGGGATGAGATGGTGGTTTGATGATGACACCGATTGCGAGATATATGCGGTACAGTTCAGTCATCACAAGCATTTTTGCAAATTGACACGTATTCGTAGAAGCAAGCGAAAATTTCAGGAGATTTTACTTCAGAATTTTCGTGTCAATTCCATTATTTATGACCATTTGATCTGACTGGAAACTAAATTGAAACAAACTGTATAAATTTAGACTTTTTTAAAATCATGCAGATGTGATCGTGTGAATACTCAACATAGCAATTATAAGGACTTACCAAAAATCTTGAAAGCCTTAAGCATTAAATGGTGTCAAATTATCACTCCAGGGGACAAATTCGTGGGAAGCAATTCCCATTTCATGCAACTTTTCGATTTTTTTTTTGAAATTTTTGTGCTTGAACCGTTTGAATTTTCATATTTTAAATCATTTTTCCAGTTATACTCTCATTCAGGCCGTCCATAGATACGTTTTCCTTCCACTTATATTCAATCTGTCGGTTTATGATTTTGTTGATCTAATAGTAACGATATTCATAATGTTGATATTAATGATATGTTACTAATGATGACAATAATCCCAAAACTAATAATGGTAATTATAATAAATATAATAATTATTATTGTTGTTATTATTGGTGTTATTATCATAGTAATAAATAATAATATTGTAACTAACAATAATTAATAATAATAATAATAATAATAATAATAATAATAATAAAGTAATGATAATAA